AAGAGATGCCGGGGTAGGCACTGGTAATGTCACCTATGTGGAGTTTGAGAATGTTGGACCTGGGTCAAACACGGATGGTAGAGTGGAATCGCATGCTGTTAGAGTTCTTGGCAACCATAATCAAGCACTTGTTTTCACGACTTCCTATTACTTGGATGCTGACTCTTGGATTCCCACTAGAGGTGTTCCTTATGATAGTGAGCTATAATATTTTTCTCTGTCTAAAACTTCTACTTTAAATTTTATTGTTACACTATGGTATTTTAGATTTTTGTTCAATCTCCCTAAAGATAGACTCCAACAGGAAAATGGTAAAATATTTTTCCCTGGAAAGTTGCACAGGGAATTCAGGATAAAAATGGCAAAGTTCTATCTAAGAGATAGTAAGGGTGGTTTTGTTAAACATCGACCGGCAAAATATTCTTACTGTATAAAACAAGAGGATTGGGATAAATTTGTAGCTCAGCATCTGACTGAAAATTTTCAGGTAATAACTGTCATTATTTATCTCTATCCATCATGCATACAAATTTTCATAGCAATGTTAACACTTAGCTGCTATTGTATCGATACTTCTCAAATCCGACATACCTCATAAAACACCGTACAAAATGCAAGTTCTTAGAGGAATTGGTGCTAAATAGGTTTGCCATCACAGTTTCTTCCTTTGTTTGTCTATCATCCCTAACGATCTTGAAGTTGTCTAGAACTAAAATTACCTGTGATTCCTCTAATGAGTCCGAAATGTTGGCACTTAATTTCCCAGCTCGCAAAAAGTATGAGACATTAGATTGCACTTGGTCAGGTGTGAAGAGTGTCACTTTACAAGTCCCTCTACTTGAAGTGGTTTCAATAAAGTATAGTTCTGTCTCTCGTGATTCACATGTTGAAATTAAGTTTTATGCTTCACAGCTTACAAAATTTTGTTATTCTGGTTTTTTATCGGATACCATTTTGTTAGACACAGACAATTTAGTATCCGCTGATATTAGTCTATATAATAATGAGAAGAGTGTGCAACAAAATTGAGATGTTTGTTTGTAAACTTCTCAGTATTAATCCAGATTTTCTAAAGCTGTGTGTTTGCATTAAGCAGTTCGTCCTTGCAGGATCGAAACATCATTTTGTAGATATTCCTCCATTTGGAATGTTGAGTTATCTAGAACTAAACTTTGTTGCCTGCGAATATTTGTTAAGCATACTCCTAAAGACACCTTGTCTGAAGACTCTAGTTTTAAAGGTGATATATTTTGATGGAATGCTGATGGATTTTGCAAAGAGCTCTTAGCTCATCAACGTTTGTGAAGATTAAATCTGCATAATTGCTTATGATCTCCCTGTTGAATGATCAAAATGATCAAAATATCTCTCAATGTAGGAGACATCTGAAGCTGCATAATTGCATAATTGCGTAATTACCAGAAATGATCATAATCTGCATAATTGCATAATCACCAGAAATGATCATAATCTGTAAAATGATCATAATCTGCAAAATGATCATAATCTGCATAATTGCATAATTACCATAAATGAACAAAATGTCTCTCAATGCAGGAGACATCTGAAGTTGTTACTGCAACGAGAGCACCATTACTCCTACAAGTATGAGCATAATTACCATAAATGATCATAATCTGCTTTTGTTATTGTTTTAATAGTAAAATATTTCATTATTAATGTCCTACAAGTATGAAATTTCATTGGATTCTAGTTATGTACTTTCATATTTTCCTCTCTGCATAATTAATCAAAACTCACAGGTATAAAACAGTAACACTACTACTAATGTCTTATAGTGCTTTTTGTAACACCCCCTTTCTATACCCCAAATAATTCAAATAATCATTTAGGTACAAAATAAAAATTTCATCAGAGTATAATTGCATACATGGCATAAAAGAGGTATGTCACATTATCGATGAAATTGAAACATACAACACCTGCTCAACATTTGATATGCAACAGTGGGGTAGCTTTGCAACGCAAGAACTTAGTCCTTACAAATATTTTCTGTAACAAGCTTCTGATAGGTTGCATATTTAAATTAAATGTTTTTTCTGATAGGGCTCCGCTCCGATAATTTATTTTAAACTTTTTTTTGTTACATCTCATTTATATTTAATCATAATTAAATATGAAATTAGTCATAAAAATATATTATTATATAATTAATTTCTTACACATTATTTTTACCTACAATTTTAACAGTCAAGAGCCAAAACCCAGCCTTGGCGGCATTGTAGCAAAACTAACCAAGGCAGAAGTCGATAGAATGGCAGGTGTGTAGTCACTAATTTTTAACTTTTGAAAACTAAATTATATTTATTCTCTATACTAATAGTGGTATGTTTAATTATTAAAATTGATATCGTAAGATTGGATGGAGTGGTGGCTATCTTTCCTGTTAAAAAGAGAACTATCCTTGCAATAAAATTCTGGGATTTTATTGGTCTTCCGATGAACGTGAAAAGAGAGTCTTATGAATACGACGTGATCATTGAAATAATAGATTCTGGAATTTGGCCAGAATCTGAGAGTTTTAATAATAAAGTCTTTGGTCCACCACCAAACAAATGGAAGGGAGCTTGTCAAACCATTAATTTCCCATGCAACAAGTAAGATACTAGCATTAATCAAAAACTTAAATATATCTAAATAGTCATTTTAAATGTTTAATTAAATTTTTCCTATTTGTTTGATGTTATAGTCGGACTTAATTGCTCCTGGAGTTATGGAGTTGATATCATTCTTGGTTGTACATAAAGAACTACCATTTAACATCATCTCTAGAACATCCATGGCATGTCAACACGTCTCTGGTGCAGCAGGATACATCAAATCCTTCCGCCCTATTTGGTCACCCGCTGCTATAACGTCCGCTTTAATGACAATAGGTATATAAATAATCACGATGCTGAATTCGCTTACAAGGCTAGTCAAATTGATCCGATGAAAGCTTTAAACCCCGGGTTAATATATGATGTTTGAAAAATGGATTACATAAGTTTTTTTTAATGTAATTTAGGCTACAACAAATCCGTCATTACATTTATCACGGTGAATCGATTAATCTGTTCCAATATATCATACACATTTGCATGTGATTTAAATTATCCTTTGTTTGCTTTGAAAGCATCAAATCCGCACAACATAAGAGAGACCTTCAATGAAATGTTACAAATGTTGGATCGCCATTGTCCACATATAGAGCATTTCTGTCAGTTTCTGATGTACTCAACATCTCAGTTAACACCATACCCGAAAAATGGTGAAGCTAAAGTAAAATTAAAAATAAATCAATATAGCACATTATATAAGAGAAAGATGAATATAACAAAATTTCTTGTAAAAATATTGTATACATCATTTTGACTATGGTTACAATTAAAATTAATTTTACAAATGAACCTATAAAATGCGTAGCATAAAGTTCTCAAATAAAAAAACTTCCAAAACAAATAAAATCATTATTGCTAAATATTTGGATGAAAAAAGTTAACTCAAAAAACCTTCCACAAGTTCACTTTCTAACATGCAATGAAAAAATATTATAATTCTAGAATTATTCATGAAGAAATCTTGCAAACAAAAAACACTATAATATTCATCACGAAATCTCATACTTTTCAATTATATGTTTATGCATCTAGGATTTATAAATATCACATTTAAATATGGAACAAATAAATGTATAAACATTATAAGATATAATTCATATAATTTTCATATCAAGAATAAAACATAATGTATTATTGAAAAGAAAAATAATAGTTATAAGGCTTAATTGCAAATATGGTCTCCCTATTTTGTATTTTTTTTTGTTTCGGTCGCTCCATTATAAAAACCACGATTTTGGTCCCTTTTTTATGTTTTGAGTTTGATTTTAGTCCCCTCTCCAATTTTAAATTTTTTTATGACGTGTCATTATCTAAGATGACTTGTCTAATGCCATGTCATTTTTAAAAAATTAATTGAAGATTTTTTTTATTGACTAGGATAATTAACTTATTAATATTATTTTAATTAATAATGATTAATATTTTATTATTACAATATGATTTAGAAGTGCTTAATGTTGTAGTATAAAGTGTCTTTTAGAAGACCCACACTGATTTTTGTATAAAACATAAAAATGTTTATAAAGCTGAAGCAAACACAATAATTCAATTGTGCATTAGAAAGATGGACCAAAGACATGAATCAATAACTAAAGGCCCAAAGAGTTTCATTTAAAATTTTAATTAATTAATTAATTATAAAAATTAATAATAAAATATTAATCATTATTTAATTAATTAATTAAAATAATATTAATAAGTTAATTATCCTAGTCAAAAGTCTTCAATTAATTTTTTTTAAATGACATGTCATTAGACAAGTCATCTTAGATAGTGCCACATTATAAAAAAAAATCAAAATAGTGGTTTTTAAAATGGGGGACCAAAACTCAAAAAAATACAAAATAGGAGGATCCAAACCCAAAAAAATACAAAATAGGGGGACCAAAGATGCAATTAAGCCTAGTTATAATATGTATCTAATTCGGCTTTGATATCAATTGAAAGATTTGATTGAATCGAATAAGTATAAATTATATCATATTGTTATTTTAAAGAATAATCGATAACATAAGAGCGATGTATCTTGTAGGATTTACCCTCATTGTCGTTTAGGATTTTCATAGTATGTTATTTGTCTAATGAGTAGGTTAACTTTCTCAACTCTTCACACACTATATTTATACATTTGCGAATGCGCGCGCATATATATATATATATATATATATATATATATATATATATATATATATATATATATATATATATATATATATATATATATATATATATATATTAATGTTGTATTATATCCGTTGTATTATATTGCTTTTCCTAATTTAATTCTTCATAATTTACCCACCATGGCCAGAACTTGAATTCATATCTTCCTCAACTCTCAACTAAATCAAGTGATGTAAAAACCAAAATCGAAGAATTTTACACAAGGAACAAAAATATGACAATAATCGGAGACCAACTAGCGATGATATCAACTCCTGGAGCAATTAAGTCCAGCTACAACATTAAAGCAAAAGTAAAGAATTAATCAGAATATTTAAAATGATATAGATGTCATTGATTTATTCATTAATGAAAATAAAAATAAAAAACAAACCTTAAGAATATCAGGTGTAACTAGATTTGGACCTCTTGATGAAAAGGTTGCAACTACAGGTGCCAAAGCATTTTCTAATTCATGAGACTTAAATGTTGTTGCCATGGGAGTTCTGCAAAATAATTTATAAAAAGAAGTCAAAATTTGTAAAATGATGAGTGTATATAGAAATTACATTTCATATACCTTACAGAATGAATGTATTTGTGTATGCTAGAAGCATCCTTTGGTTGAAGGTAACTTCCAGCTAAAGGGAAATAGTCTGCAACATCTCTAAAACCTTGACCTTGCGTCAAGACACCAATAGCACCAACTAATTTGCTAAAAAAAACATTTATATATCAACAATTACTTGTGTTATACTCTAATGTAAAATAATTATTTTGAAAAGAGTTGAAAAGATATTTTCATACTTGTTGCAAGTGAAATTATAGGATTCACAAACGCCCTTCCATTTCTTTGGTGGTGGCCCAAAACCTTTGTCATTAAAACTCTCAGATTGGGGACAAACTCCAGAATCTATTACTCCAATGATGACATCAGATTCATAGGAGTTTCTTTTAACATTCATTGGAAAACCAATAAAATCCCACGATTTTGTTGTAAGAAGAGGTCTCTTTTTATCGGGAAAGATAGCCACCACTCCATCTAATCCTACAATATCAATTTTCATAATTAAATGTTCAATTATTAATTATAAATAATAACTATAATTTGGTTTTCAAAAGTTTAGAATTATTTTCTACACACCTTCCATTCTATCCGCTTCTGCCTTGGATAATTTTGCAACAAATCCCCCAAAACTAGGCTCGTAATAATTCAGTAAACGTTTTGATCCTAAGAACTAGTGTGAATGGAGGGTCCTAAAGGTCAAGCCAAAACCCTAATCAAAAGGTATTAAAAATCAGGGAGAAAAATATCCAAAAATCAATTGATGCATCAAGATTATGTACAAGAGAAATCAAGCATTTATGTGAACATTTGATCCCAAAATGAAATTCAAAACAAGAAACATGCATTTTTCAATTAACATAAAATACTTCCAAGTGTAAAATGCATTTTTAATTGAAAAATATGCCAAAAAATAAAAATAAAATTTTCTAAATTCAATTAACATCTTGAAATGATTAAAAACTACTTTTGTGGAATTTATTGGCATTTGAAAGTATTTTAGTTTGATTAAAATAAAACAGATTAAAAAATTGAAGAAAAGAATGAAAAGAAATAAAATGGAAAATGATTTGGTGCAATTAGCAACTAGAAACAGTTATGCGCGTTGGGCCTTGAATTGAGGGGGGTTCAGATAGCACTTTGGCCCCAAGATGAAGCCAGCTGAGTCCAAGCATGAAACGCAGTGTTTCATTTAAATTCCTAGTCAACTAGCTCAAACTTAATCGTGGCCATCGATTTTAAACTCGATCAACAAGGATCAGAGGCTAGCACGCTGACACGCAGGCTTTGGACTGAAAACAAGCGCGCCGGAGAAGATGAACCTTGCGGTGGTTCCGATTATCTTCTCCGGCCACCCAAAGTTGTAGGGGATCTTAGACCTAACCAAATTGCACGATTTTTGTGCCTAAACTACTCGTCTCAAAACACTGATCATGAATCCATGGTTTATTTTCATTAATACTTCCTAAATTGTGATATTCGAATCCAAACAGTTTGGAGGTCATTTCGAGAATCAACACAAACAAACTCTAAACCTATCCATAAACGTTCTAGGAACTTAGGGGATCATGAATATGCTAAAATGGCAGCCAATTACTACATGAACAGAGAAATTTTTTGAGAGATGACTTACTCAACGGAGCACCTCCGTTGGGTCTTCAATTGCTGATGAAGCTTGATCAAAACCAACCAGAATCTTTCCTTGATCTTCAATGGAGGGGTTGGTGACCTTGATTTGGATTGAAAGTGCTTAATTCTCCAAAACACGATTTCAATTTTCTCCACTTTTTGTAACTGATTTCTGTTCAATTCTTGATCAATTCTCCATTCTGAGAGCTTGTGAAGGATGCTAGGAATATATACAATGGATCTAGATCATAATAAAGCCCAATCATAGCCCACATTGATCCAATTGAAAATCCAAGTTTTTTCACTTTGAAGCTCCATGGTTCACATGAAAACAGAGCTCAAAACCTCCAAACTTGACTCATACATGTTGCTTGTGATGTAAGGAACTTAATGGCTGAGATTAATCCATTGTCTTGATCTTAATGGTGAATTTTGAATGTGTACCTTCATGATGAAGCAACCTTGAATTTCTATATGCAAGTGACCTCAAATCTGGTTTCTGAAATTGGCATTGTTCTTAGAATGTTAAAAGGACTCAAAAAATGCTTAAACATGATTGAAAATGGTTAAATATGACTTTGATTGAATTTAGGATTTTCAGAGTATGTTAATTGTCTAATGAGTATGTTAATTTTCTCAACTCTTCACACACTATATTTATACATTTGAGCATACGCGCGCATATATATATATATATATATATATATATATATATATATATATATATATATATATATATATATATATATATATATATATATATATATATATATATATATATATATATATATATATATATATATATTAATGTTGTATCATATATATATATATATATATATATATATATATATATATATATATATATATATATATATATATATATATATATATATATATATATATATATATATATATATATATATATATATATATATATATATATATATATATATATATATATATATATATATATATATATATATATATATATATATATTAATGTTGTATTATATTTTTTTTAACGGTGAAGATTTTTTTAAAACATTAACTTTTTAATATTTCTTTAGTATATTCATTAAAGAAATTGTGTTAAGCAAGATGTTGATAAAGTTAACTATTTTGTGCATGAGAGACTAAGAATGCATGCGAATGAGACATTGCATGAATATTATACTTTGTCTGTTTATAGAAACAGAAAAAACAAATAGTTGTAGGAGTCACATCATGTAAACTACTTTTTCTTTGAAGACTCACTAACAAAATCTTTATATATTCACCACGATCATAAAGCCTCGCATTCATCTCACATTCTCAGCTTTCACATTCCTCGTGCACATAAACTAGCCCAAATGCCACGCCTTTTAGATCCTAAACCTCTCTTCTCATTTCAACATTCATCTCGGTTCTTCAAATATATACTTATCCAGTTTATTTAAAAATTGGCGTTAGATCTAGTTGGCCGATCATTAAAATAGTAACATGCTTTGACTCATTTGTTTGATAGCAACATTTCTAAAATTTCAAACTTATCAATGATTAACCATTCTTTTTCTAGCTTGACAATGGAGAGCAGATTTTCATTCCGTCTCTTACTTTTCCTTGTTACTCTTACTTTAATTTTCATAAACTCATCTTCCCAACACCGTTTGAAGGTAAATAATTACACTTCATCTCTTTTTATAAAAATTATATAAAGTATATTTTTGTTGACAAAAAAATATTATTTTTCATATTTCTCATAAATAAATGTTATTATGTAAATGCAGACTTACATAATCTATCTCGGATATATGAAAGATGAAATTTCAGCATTGCTTCGTTACAAATATCTTCTGCAACAAGCCTTTGATAGATTGCATATTCAAGTTAAAAAAAATTCTGATAGGGCTCCGATATTTTATTTTAAACGTTTTTTTTTTGTTACATCTCATTTATATTTAATCATAATTAAATATGAAATTAGTCATAAAAATATATTATATTATACTTAATTTCTTACACATTGTTTTTACCTACAGTTTTAACAGCCAAGAGCCAAAACTCAGCCTTGACGGCTTTGTAGCAAAACTAACCAAGGCAGAAGTGGATAGAATGGCAAGTGTGTAGTCACTAATTTTTAAATTTTGAAAACCAAATTATATTTATTCTTTATACTAATAGTTGTATGTTTAATTATGAAAATTGATATTGTAGGATTGGATGGAGTGGCGGCTATCTTTTCGGTTAAAAAGAGAACTATCCTTACAACAAAATCTTGAAATTTTATTGGTCTTCCATTGAACGTGAAAAGAGAATCTTATGAATACAATGTGATCATTGGAATAAAAGATTATGGAATTTGGCCAGAATCTGAGAGTTTTAATGATAAAGTCTTTTGTCCACCACCAAGTAAATGGAAGGGAGTTTGTCAAACCATTAATTTCCCATGCAACAAGTAAATGATAAAGTCTTACTGAAACAAATAACACAAACAGTATTAGAATTGTCTCAAAACTGAAAACTGAGCCGGATCTAAATCGAAAAAAGATAAATACAAAAAATTAGTTTTAAATTTTTTAAAATAAATTTTTGAAAAATAGTTTAATAGTTTAATATTTTAATTAATTATTAGGTTTGAAAAAAATTATTTTTTAATGGTTTAATACAGTATAAAATTTCTAAAGGATATGATAAACTAATAATTTAAATTCGTTTCTATTATGAGTAAATTTAAAATGAACTTTTATTATGATTTGTTGCAGTGAAAAACCCTATCGATATCCAACTGAGCTTAAAAGTACCTGAGTTTCATCATTATTTTATATGGCTCTCATTTTATAAAGATATAATGTAGTATTACTTATCAAAAACATGACTTACATAAACACAAAGAAAGTAATAGTAGGAGGTTTGGGCATGTTGGGGTTTAATTTGTTTTCATTTTACTTTAATGTTTTAATCTTGAGTTTGCAAACATGTTATTTGGTATGTTGAATTGGTGTCTACACAATTTTATTAAAGCTCCAAAATAATTTCGTTAAACACATAAGACAGGCTATTGGGTTCTTTTTTGGTATGTGTGTCTGTTTGGCTTGATAATGTAGTATCTTTTCATCTAAATTACTTTTAATTTTATTTACCTCATTCATATATACTCTGACAAGATTCTAACATGCCCTAACAAGGGTTTGTTATGTATATATAAAAAAATACAGAATACGTCCGAGAATTATATCTAGATTTTTTAATACGTGAGGTAAAACCATTGTGATATAAAATGTATTATATGTGGCACGCACTGATAGTTTATTATTACAATCCATTCTCATTTTCATTATAGAAATATTACTTAAAGTGAAGTATGAAATACTACGTTCCATTTCATTTTTTACGTGGATTTCATGAAGCTATTAGTGGATGCACTATCTTTACAAAGCCAACATCAACTGTTTGTCAGTTTCTCAATTGTAGAATAGTGGAACAAAGTAATAGTTTTTATCTTTTTCTCAATAAACCTTCACAACACAATTATGGAACAAAGTAATAGTTTTTATGCTTTTCTTCAGCAAAACTTCCCAACACAATTACGGAACAAAGTAATGACTGAGGTGGAGAAGGAAGAAAAGTTGCAGCGTGAAGTGGGGAACTCATTAACGGGAGAAATCAGTCTAAAAGGAAGTTGAAACGCACATCACTAGAATAAAGGTTTTCATGTTAATTAATATTTCACTAAGAAACTTTAATCCTATAAACACTTTTTTAATGGATTCTAATTGAAATGTTCTTGCTGCTATAAATTTGAAACACACATATAAAATATAGTAAGTATTACTTATCAAAAGATAATGTAAGAGTAGTAGTATGTAGGAGTTAAACTCTTAGTCATTAAGATAGTGAATAATTATATATTTAATATAATTTAATAGAGAAATAGTAAATCCTAAAAAGTGATTTAGAAAAATAAATAACTAATTAAAAAGGAGCTTAGTTTTCCTAATTTAATTGTTCATAATTAACTCAATATATAACCTGTACTGTATAAAGAACATTGATGGAATAAGTAGTTATTTGAGTAAAAAGAAAAAGAAACAACTTAATGTACTGTATAAAGAATATTAATGGAATAAGTAGTTATTTGAGTAAAAAGAAAAAGAAACAACTTAATGACCGCAACAACTTCTCTTTACACACACAGCATAATATATTTACACTTTTTTTAAAGTATATTTTATCTTTTGTAGTATTTTACCACTATATACCCAGGCCCTGATTTTCGTGAGTGGAAAATGTTAAACGTTCCCATAAAAATTGATATGGAAAAAGTAAAAAACTTTTGTGTTAAGCAACATGTTATCTTTTTCGAAGCTATCCGACTAAGTAATTATCATTCTTCTTTTTCTGTTATGTTTATGGTTTTTCTTCTAAACTATTTATGCATGCGTTTACTATTTGTGCATGAAATAATATTTTGTCTGTTTATAGAAAATGTGTATAGCTTTTCAGCAGCTGAAGAAATGGTAGGGACATATAACAGTGAAATGTGTTTGAATATACCTTTCTATATATAGAACAAAAATAACTAATTAGCTTTTTCCTCCCTTTAGCTCTTTCTCATTCAATAGTGCATGGCATATATAAGTTTTTTTTAAAAAAATAAACAACTTATATATTACGAAAAACATGCGAGTACAAGTGGTACTCAAAATCCTTAAAAAAACGTCTAACTACACAAAATAATTAAGCAATACAATTTAATGGAGTTGAAATTTAATTAAAAAAACTATAAAAAGAAGAGGGCTTATTCGCATAACATTGTCATTCCCACGAAATCAACTTAATTTTCGACCAGCACTCCTCAAAATTTGGGATGCTATCATTGAGCACAATGTCATTTCGAGTCGTCTAAATTATCCAAATTACAGCCAACCAAACTATGCTTGCCACGTTCCAAACCGACTCCTCCTTGATGGAGTTAGCTAAGAAATGAAACATGGAAAAATCCTCCTTGGACATGACAAAATCAGGCCCCATCCAAGAGATTATAGCAGACTAAATTTTCAAGCTGAACACACACTCTCCAAAAACATGCTTTTTAGATTCAGCCTCTTTGAAACACAGAACACAACACAAATCTCTCCTATCAATCAGAATTTTCCTCCTCGCTAACTGGTCTTTCGTTGCCAATCTATCAAGAATCCAACACCACCCAAAAAATCTAGCATTCTATGGAACATTACTCTTCCATTAAACACCACGAACCACAATTTGAATAGGAGCAATGGGTGATCTAGCAGTAAGAAATTTGTACGCAGACTTGACAGAGAAAACATATTTTTTTTCGCCTTCTGTACAAACTCATCGACTAACTCTTGATTCAAATCATTGATTCCAGACCACGCCTGCAGGAACTCTTCAAATCTCGTCCCTTCTGACGTGTTACGTTTCCCTGCAAAAGAGGAATGTCAGTTTCATGAGTCATTATGCCACCGATCTGCTTCTACAATGCTGCAGAGCAGATTCTCCTCCGATGCAAAAAACTCAGGGAAAGCCTCCCTAATAGTCTGATTACTGGCCTATCTACTAAACGAGAAACAATGGCTCCTTCCATCCCAAACCTTGCACACAGTATTAGCTGAAAAGCTGATTATGGAAACATTCTCGCAATAATCCACCATCAATATATCTCTCCACCAAATTGAATCCTGGGGATTAATTATTCACTTATCATTGACGGACATTTTCACTTCAGGATTATGGTATCCAAAATTCAAAATACCTCTCCAAATAGCTTCCCAATCATTTACAATTCTCGATTTCTACTTCATGAGCAATGCTTTATTGAAACTTTTGATATTCATGATACCGAGCTCGCCATCTTCCTTTGATTTGCAAATGTTTTCCCAACTCACCCAATAAATTTCTCTCTTGTCTTCTAAATCCCTCCAAAGAAATTTGCTCAAAATACTCCTAATTTCACCCAAAACCTTGTTAAGTGCCTCGTAGAAAGATATCGTATACGTCGGTATCGCGTTCAAAATTGAATTAATCAAAACAACATTTCCACTTAATGAAAGGAATCCTCCTTTCCAAGAGAGAAACCTACTCCTAATATTTTTGATAACCTCATTCCACATGATAGTCCTTCTAGAACTGCTACCAACCATAACACTCAAACACTTGAAGGGAACTTTATCGATCCCGTAAGCAAGAAAGGAGAATGCTGCATCTAAATCCCAATCACTAATGTGAATACCGTAAAGACAAATCTTGTAAAAATTAACGCATAAACCCGAAATTATTTCAAAACCGCGAAGTAACACCTTGAAGCTCCAAAGATTCTCATTGCTACCATCCCCAATGATGACAATGTCATCGAAAAATTGGAGGATGTCTACTAAAACTTCATCATCAAACTTAAAGCATTTAAAATCTCCTTGCAAAATAGCCATGTCCATCATGATTGTGAACCCTTCCATAACAATTCCGAATAAGAATGGAGATAGAGGGTCTCCTTTCCGCAGCCGCTTGCCCACCTTGAAATCCTTCGTAACAATACCATTAACCAACGCTGACATCATGCTACTGAAGATGCACGCTTACATCCAACTGAGCTAAATCGTGCTAAACCCCATCCTACAGAGCAGGTATTAGAGGTAATTCCAATTGACACTATCGTAGGCCTCTTCATAATCTACCTTCAACACAAGACACCTTCTCTTGTTACGATTTTCAAAGTATAAAACTTCATTAACCATTAAAACCCCATCCATAATTTTTCTCTCCAGAATGAATGTGGTTTGCTTGCGAGAAATGAGTTTTCTAATAACTAAGTTTAGTCTGGCAGTGAGTATTGTAACCAATATCTTATATAGGCAGCCAACAAGACAAATAGGTCTGTATTCAGACAAATTCTGTGGGTGGAAAACTTTTGGGATGAGATCTAAAAAAGAAGTTGTGCAATCTTTTGTGAGTCTAGCTCTCATGTGGAAGTCGCGCACAAATAGTAAAATATCCTCCTTTAAGAAAACCCAACTTACCTTTATGAATTCAAGAGAGTAATCGTCAGGCCCTGTACATTTTTCATGTTACGGCTCTGAATTGCAGCCTTTACTTCATCTTCTGTAAATTCAGGATCCAAGGATCTTCTATCTACTTCGTCAAGACTTTTGAAAGGAATATCGTCGGGCACCAGCTTAACCAAGAAGGACTCACTGAAAAACTTTTCAAAATGGAACTTGACATCCTCCTTAACCCTTTGAACATCCTCCACCAAATCTCCATCCAAATTCTTCACAACGATATGATTCCTCCCATAACGCTCCTTAAGAGAATTATTGTAAAACGAGTGTAATCGTTGTTAGACAACGACAATGATTTAGAAGAGGAGTTGAATAGATCACTAATTCCTAACACTACTACAAAAAAGTTTTATAATAGCGCTTTTTTTGCTTTTTAATAGCGCTTTAAAGCGCTATTAATCAAGCCGCTATTGTAAAACAACATTTTTAATAGCGCTTTAAAAGCGCTATTATAGTACTGGTAATTAATAGCGTTTTTTCAAAAGCGCTATTATAGTACCTGTATTTAATAGCGCTTTTCCAAAACCGCTATTATAAGTCACATATTTGATAGCGCTTTCATACAAAGCGCTATTATAGTACCGGTAATTTGCTTTAATTTTGATAGCACTTTCAAACAAAGCGCTATTATAGCACACATATTTAATAGCACTTTCAAATAAAGCGCTATTATAAGACACATATTTAATAGCACTTTCAAATAAAGCGCTATTATAATCCACATATTCGATAGCACTTTCAAACAAAGCGCTATTGAAATACCGGTAAATTGCTTTAATTTTGATAGCACTTTCTAATAAAGCGCTATTATAGCACGCTCTCTTCAAAACGCTATTCTAATACACTTTTATTTTTACACCAAATCATTTTTTTAATATATATATATATATATATATATATATATATATATATATATATATATATATATATATATATATATATATATATATATATATATATATATATATATATATATATATATATATATATATATATATATATATATATATATATATATATATATATATATATATATATATATATATATATATATATATATATATATATATATATATATATATATATATATATATATATGGCATTTACCTTTTACGATATTAGAATTCATAAAATAATTATAACTAAGTAGCTAAAATACTTGAAATTAAAATAATAATGACAAATGTGATACCATTAATTTGGCTTAAGAGTACTTCAAACCAAAATATTTTATAAACACAACTAAAGTATTTTGTCATGTAGTTATTAATTTGGCTAAGAGTACTTCAAACAAAATTTCAAACAAAAAGTACAATCACTTAGCTAGGCATATTCTCTAAACTAATGAAAAAAACAACTAAAAAAACAAGAAAGGACAACAAAAACAACATCAACTAGCTAGTAACCACTTTGCCAACCAAAACACTGCTACATCCAAAGATACAACCACTTTGCTAGCTAGCTAGGCAAAATCATTGCTTCTTGTTTTCCTGCATCATAGAAAGAATATTGATTATGTATTGTACAATAATCAGAAAACAAAAACCTGAAAACAAAATATTAATATATAATTAAAAAAGAACATCATTTTACCTAACCAAGTTCAATGGTAACAACAGGATTCAAATGAACATCTTAAGTGATCAAAATGGTACAACCAATTCAAACTTTTAATATGCAAGTAAGGTATTAAGTATCTATATATTGTAGGCTTACTGAAAATATCATCCACCATATAGGTAGCCCAATCATCTTTGACCTCAGTTAACTTATCCTTAGAGTAGGTACGACACTTGTGGTCAGGAAAGTACTTCAAATATAAAAACATCAACAATTGTATTAGAACTAAGTTACATTAATTTACAAAGCTTTAACAATTAAAATCACGTACATTTATGGGGATCATAATTTCATTTTCCATGATGACCTCTTTCATAAATCGCATTACAAAATATCCACAGTCAATGCTATTAAATTGACGGGGACACTGCAAAAAAACATTTACATATATTACTTTTACTCTACATAATTGTTTTAAAATTACGTTAATTTGGACATACCCAAATTTTTGACCATGCAATTTTCTTTGACTTGGAGACTTTAGGCACTTTAGAGTTACTATTAGCACGATAAAATTGCAATGCACTAACAAAATGAAATTAACTTCAAATGAGTAATTATTATAACTAAGAATACTTATATAAATGTTAAATTAAAAGAGTCTATACTTACTTCTCAAACTTGGTTTTAAAATTTTGATGTTTAGTTGGTTCACCATTCAACGGATCCATGTAATATATCACCTCAGCATCGAGATTGATGACAAGTAGTACCCAATGTTTCCGGCAAAACAAAAAGCACATCACATTGAGAAGTTAATTTGTTAATTCCCCACCAAGTAGTAACAACACTCAGAACTTGGATACTTTACCTTCCATTGCAATACATATAATATTGATGCATACAATATATTGATGCATACAATATATTCACAGTATTGATGCATACATATAATATAAGATGCTAAACACATATATAAGAGCAGTTTAAATCCACATAAAATTGAAGTTGAAACTATCGTTCAACTGCAAGTGTTACAATTGTCCATTGCAAATCTATACTTATATAGTTTTTTCTCATAAATTTAATAACATTTTGAATAGAAAACTCACCCTAGATTGCAAGGTGCAAGAATCATCTTATCCTTGAAGTACTCCTCATCTTTCAGAAGTATTTTTGCTATAGCATTTCCTAGATTATCCTCCCGTGATACATGTGGGGATATGAAGGAGAACTTATTTATTAATCCATTTGGATTAATAAACTTGTCATACAAATACCTAGAAATGAACAACAATAATTGGTATTAATATATTTGTCAACAATGTAAATATTAATATATTTGTCATATTAGAGGAAATTTGTAATAATAGAGGTACCTGGAAAATACAGTGATAACAGAGGCACTTAACCAATTGTGATCAAGAATCTCTTTTATACTCTCTACACGTAGATGCTCTATAAACTCCTCACCAAATATACTTTCCTCCATTTTTATTTGAATTAACGATCCAACCCTCATCATCTTTTTCACATACATATCAAGGAAAGGTAAATTTACAAGATTGGTTGAACTGCCAACTCTAGGAGACTCTTCAATTTTGAATTTTATGATGCTTTTGTTAGGTGACGAAATAGAATCAACACTTCGTTGGGTATTCTTAACTTTGTTTTGGGATTGATCAGGATTCTAAAAAGTTTTATTAATTAAGGTTAGTGATCAAATAATAAAACAAATAACGATCAAGCAAGTTAATAATACGTAATTTACCTTTTCACGTTCAGCAACAAATTCAAGAAGGTTCATTGGCCATGGCACAATTGTTCCTATTGCCTGACCAACGATCGATACATCACCACCTTCAACAGATATAGGCAATTGAGCATTTGGCACAATAGCAACTTCGATATTATTGACATATCCAGGTGGTAACGTCATGCCGTGCACTGTGTTACCTTTGGTGTTATATAGTTTTCCACGAGCAACCAAACACCGACTCGGGGATGATAAATATATATTAACAGGAAGGAGACCCTGCAATGAGATATGAATAAAAACATTAATATCATTATTTACAAAACAAACATATATGAACTGCTTTGACTGTACCGACACTGACTTATCCAAATTCTTCAAAACAGATCGATATTAACCTCCAATGACAGAAAAATGGATACTTTCTTACAGGAGGTCACATATCACATATATTCTTCTACAGATTATATACTCTTGAATGGATACTGCTGAGGCTGTTTTATAAAATTTTAAAGTATTGTTTCTGTCAACCACAACTATGCTATGTACCACTCTCCATTTAAAAGGTGATATAGTTAATGTAGTTCTGTAGCGCAAAGTTCAATAAAAAACGGTATTCCATGAGCTATAAGGCTACATTGCACATTAAAAGTGGTACGTTATTAATTATGAACAATAGGTTTATACCACTTGTTTGTCAAATGTGATCACAATCATGAATAATAGCGATGTACTAAGGCCCATATCATGAGAAAAATATATTAGACATTACTACCGTTAAGCGCCCACTGGTTTGGAGAGTGTCTGCATAATTGACAGCATATTATACTTGCTTGTCAATAATAATTATGATTAACGGTTAGAGAAGAGAGTAATGATATTATTAGTTAATGTATTACGTACACATGTAAAAGTCAAGAAAAAGTGACACTCATGAAGCTTAATACTGTAGCAAAATATAATGGCACCAAATGCCTTTGGAGCCTAACGAACAGGATGAGTCATAAAGGCCCGAATAATGTACTTCATGTATATGTATTGGAATTTAAATTGAGTTGTGATTTAATCCATAGTGACAGAAACAATACTTTAAAAGAACACATCTTGTCCTACAGACTGCAGACTACAGACTACGACATTATACAGACTAGAGACTGCTGAGGCTGCTAAGTGGAAAACAGAAGAAACTGCTGAGGCGGCTAATTAAACAGAAAACAGTTGAGGCAAAGAGACCCTAAACCAATAAGATACAAATAAAAACATTAATATCATTATTTACAAAACAAACATATATGAACTGCTTTGAATTACCTCGGGAATATTATCGAATGATCCAGGGTTGCAAGAACCTTTATCACTTAACTCTTGCCTCTGTGTCCCTTTTTCAGGCCGTTGCAAGCTCTTTGACACTTGTTCAGGTTGTTGCCTCTCTGCCACATCTTCAAGTTGTTGCAAGCCCTGTGTCCCTTTTTCAGGCTGTTGCAAGCTCTTTGACACTTGTTCAGGTTGTTCTTTCTCGGCCACTTCTTCGGTTTTTTGCCTCTCTATCTTCTCTTTATCCAACTTATCTCTCTCCATCTTCTCTCTCTAGCACCTCCAATCTACTTTTGAGTGTGTTGCAAAAGCCATACAATCTTTGAAAGTCCATTTGTGTGGGGCGAATTTGGCGTGGAAATATGTCCCTAGAACATATCCCAAAACCGTAACTCCTAATACGCCCATAGTAGTTTGGGAGATTTAGAGCCTCGAATAATATGTTCGTAGGACCAAGGTCTTGTCTCTCTTCTTCAGTTATAGCTTCTGTTAACTTCTCCTGACATCGATAAGTATAAAAGACTTGTTAAAAGAAAATCAATTTGAACACTTTCATTAAGATTAACCGAGATCCAAAATATTTTCAATGATCCAAAATATTAACATTCGACTTACACATTGATCCACAACTCTTTGAACATTCTCATTATCAATCACCCCATTCTTATTGACGCGGGCAACCTTCCACACTTGACTGCGATTTATCTCATCTTCTCCCGACTCTTCTACTTGTATATACATTTTGACAAATTAACATAGCAATTAAAAAAATAATTTATAATCTTGTACACTACTTTTATACACATACTTACCATATCAGCTTCAAGACGAGCACACCCTAAACGTGACTTTCTATAGGGATGTTGAGGATTTAACGCTCTTTCTCGATTTTCACTACTAACTTTCTGCATTAAAAGCACTATAAGACATTAGTAGTAGTGTTACTGTTTATACCTTTGAGTTTTGATTAATTATGCACAAAGGATAGAACCAAAAACATGGAGAATCCTGCAAAAAGATTTAGGACCTCAAATGCGGGAACATGTCCAAGTATAAGCCCAAAAGAACACCAAGTGTTGAATTTATGTTGAAAATCAAGAGCAAGAAAAGGTCCGGCTACTGATTCTCAAAGCATTTATGCAAGAGTAAGTCCTCTTAGAAATTTATCTCTTTACTGCGTATTTCAATTTGCAAATAACTAATATTTCTTCTTTTGTTGTGTAGAGGAGAAGAGAAAGAATTAATGAAACAGTAACACTATATGAAATATTTTACTATTAAAACAATAACAAAAGCATGTATGGAAGCTAGGAGTAATGGTGATAACAAACACTGTATTAATTTCAAACATTGTTGATAATTAAATCCAACAATGTTGATAATTAAATCCAACAATGTTGAGAGTCCTGTATTATTCAGATGTCACCAGGATGATCATAGGAAATTATGCAGATTAAATATTCACAAACATTGATAATTTGATGTTGTTTTTTGTTACAAGGAGATCATAGGCAAGAGCTCTTTGTAAATTTGATGCAAAGGAGAGCATTGTTTCTATTACAAGGTATCTAATTTAGTTTGTCCCTCTAGTATCCGTTACAGACGGTACGATATCGGAGGCTATTACATAGGCATAAGAGGAGAGATAAATAATGACAAGTTATTACCTGAAATTTTTCATTCTGACGCTGAGCTACAAATTTATCCCAATCCTCTTGTTTTATACAGTAAGAATATTTTGCCGATCGATGTTTAACAAAACCACCCTTACTATCTCTTAGATAGAACTTTGCCATTTTTGTCCTGAATGCCCTATGCAACTTTCCAACTTCTTTATATATATATGCACGATGTTCTTCGCCAATTACAAAATAACTTATGGAATTAAAATTTTACAACAAGCTTGAGTTAGTGTGTTACTTAAATTTCATCCCAAATGTTTTGTTTATAAACCCCTACAGCCTCTTTATTTTCTTTCGCACTCCAATTGTCCAAACTAATTAGAACTAACCGACGAACCGTGACACCAATATAACTAGCAAAACTCTTACTATTATGCTTGATTGGTTGACCTCTTGCATTCCATTGAACCTATAACAAAATTAGAGTGCAATTAAATAATCATCAATGTCACTAATATTCTAAGACAATCAGAGGTCTCATCAATCTCAATAATCATCATCTAGCTATTTTACCTCAATCCTCTTTCCATTGCTTTTGCCTTTGTGAATTTTTTGCAACCGAGTCACACCACGTTTACCAACTGTTTTCGTACTAGACGAACCACCTTCATCATTAGTAGAAACCATATTTAACCTGTAAAAAGTGTAAGAGCTAGTATTATATTTGTGTTTGCGGTTACTAATGCAAATTCAGACAAACATAAAACACAATTAAAGACAATTTTATACAGTAAGAGCTAGTATTATATCATTCTTAAACAACATTTTTATTCACTCACATTAAAGACAATTTTCAAGTGATTCCACAAATTTTTAAGTCGACCTTTTCCTCTTCCTTGTAATTGGATTCCTACTTTTGTGTTTTCTTGATATAACAAATGATGGGTTGATCCAAATCCCATCATTGTGATCGTTTCTCATATAAAGAATATCATCTACAATTAGTTCATCCTCAAGGGATTGTGATGTATTAAAGAAAGGATCATCCTCAACATCTATACTTTGAGTTTTTTGATCATTTATTTTGTTACTTAGAAACACAATAGACCATTTTTCATCGGCAGGATCAGTGACATAGAATACTTGGTGAGCTTGTGATGCCAAAATAAAAGGCTCGTCTTTATACCCCACTTTATTAAGATCGACCTTCATGAACCCAAGGTCAACTTGAAGGTCATTGTTGTTGTCAACCCACTTGCAACCAAACACAGACACTTGAAAGCATGAGTAATCCAACTCCCAAATACGTTCAATGACCCCAAAATATGACAATTTGGAAAATGCGGGATTTCTATCTTTGGAACTTGAGATATGCACAAATTCAACTACGAGTGTGACACCGCTATTTTGCATAGTGCTTTGATGATCATGTTCTTTCGTATAAAATGTATACTTATTAATTATATAACCAGAGTACGAGAGAACATGTGAATTTGGACCATTTGCTAGCCATCTCAATCTTTTGGAAATTGAAGCAGGATTTTTGGCAAATTCTGAAAAAATGTGTTCTTTTAGCCACGATATAAAACTTTTATTGTGCTCTCTTGTTAACCAATTTTCACTCCTGTTAGGGTTCAAAATTTGAAGGATTTCCTTGTGCTTTTCAACATATGGCTCAACCTCATCCGCATTGTGTAGTACATAGAAGTGTGCTTGCTCCAATTCGATGTCTGACATGGTGACTAGTTAACTTGTACCAATCCCTCCCTATTGTTTTTCCAGAGTGTCGTGACATTGGAAGCCCTATGGACTCAACATTAGAGAGGTATTCATTACAAAACTCAATAGCTTCTTCAACTAAATATCGTTCAACAATGCAACCCTCTGGTCAATCGGGTACATCCACCTCATATAAGCTGGTCCACAATATTGTATTTCCATGATAAGATGGACGGTGAGATGAACCATTATGTCAAAAAATGACGGTGGAAAATACATCTCAAGCTCACATAATGTGACAACAATTTCCTTTTGTAATGTCGACAACTTCTCAGGGTCAATAACTTTGCTACAAATAGCTTTGAAGAAAAAACAAAGTTTAGTTATGGTCCATCGCACATTTTCTGGTAAAATGGAACGTATAGCTACCGGAAGAAAGTTCTCCATTAAAACATGACAACCATGAGACTTTAAACCCTTCAATTTGAGATCTTTCATAGATACCAAACTCTTAATGTTTGATGAGTAGCCCTCTGGAACTTTAACATTCTGAAGAACCTTACACAAGATCTTTTTCTCTTTTCTTGACAAAGTATGAGCTGTTGGAGGTAGAAATGTACGCTTACCCTCCCTCTTAACCGGCCCCAATTCATTTCTTAATCCCATACTTTGCAGGTCTAACCTTGCCTTAAGGCCATCCTTAGACTTTCCTGGAAGATTAAGTAATGTACCAACGACACTTTCAAAAACATTTTTTTCAATATGCATCACATCCAGGAAATGTCTAACATACAATGACTTCCAATACGGCAATTCAAAGAAAATTGACTTTTTTTTACATCCCCCCGTGGCAAGTTCACTTGAAAAAGGCTTCCCAAAATTAGTGCTCAAAAGCTTTACCTTTTGGTATAATTGATCGCCCGTCAAAGGCACGGGAGCTCTTTTTTCTTCAGATTCATCATTAAATTCTTTTCCCCATTTTCGAAAACGATGGTTGGTATTGAAGAATCTACGGTGTCCAAGAAATACATTTTTCATACAATGATCCAACCGTATTGAATATGTATTATCTTCACATACAGAGCATGCAAGTTTTCCTTTGACACTGTAGCCTGATAGATTCCCATATGCAGGAAAATCATTGATTGTTCCAAATAACATAGCCCTCAATTGAAAGGATTCCTTTTTATACTCATCATATACCTCTACACCTGCCTCCCACATATGCTTTAAATCTTCAATTAATGGAGCCAAGTATATGTCTATATCATTTCCTGGTTGCTTGGGCCCAGAAATTAACATAGTCAACATCATGTACTTGCGCTTCATGCATAGCCATGGAGGTAGGTTATAAATCAACAAAATCACCGGCCAAGAAGTAAGTTTACTACCAAATTAGGTTCTACCTATGAATCATACCCCCACTCAAATTCTCCTTACACGAGAACCCCCTCAAATGTCTAGTAGGTTCAACATCTAACTCACTTATTTTAATTATACCTTTCAACACAACTAACTTGTTACTTGTATAACAAATAAGACATCAGGCTCAACAAGTAACATAACTAACTCATTACTTGTATAACTACCTAGTCACCTATTTTGATTACATTTCAACACAACCAAATACACAATCTAATACATAAGGAATAAGTGGTATCAATTTTGTGTAACATCTACTCACCATTTTTAATACGTCAAGCTTTATTTAGAAAATGATCTATTTTTTCGAGGTGCAAGAATGATACAGTATAAAACAAAACTATAAACTCCCAACATGGTCCTAACAATAAATATGAATAGAATGGACCATATAGGCATGTAGCAATAAATATGAATAAAATGGACCATATAGGCATGTAGCAAGAGAGAATATCCTTGGTAATTTTGTCTTTTTTTCATGGGACCATGTTTGGTCAGATTTGTAAGTCTTGAACCAATATTTAATCCAAACTAGTTGGGTTTTAAATTTTTGGAACCCGGTCCAACCGAATTTTATGGATTGAATTAAATTGTTATTTTTGGTGGGGAGAGTATTATAGTATGTGGAAACCAACGTGCTTTGGTTGGATTTCTTTGCCTAAAACATGGCGGCCTGCATCAAAAATCAATTTCATTTGTAGTTGGACCAATTTTTTTTATTCTTTGTTGAAAATAGGAAACTAATTCAAATAGGTTTTAGCAATTTGACTTTGGTCTAGGAGTTCTTACAACTAAGTCTTAGGTTTTAGTTGTATATAATATAGCAATTTAACAGGCAGCATTTTAACATAGCAGGCAGCATTTTAACAGGCAATCTCAAGCATTTTAACAGGCAGCATTTTAACATAGCAGGAAGCATTTTAACCAAAAGTTATTTCAGCATAGAAGGAAGAATTGACAGGGGACCACACATATTGTCACAATAGACAAAAGAACATTCCTAGGCTCTGCAGAATCGTACCACTACGCGTCCCCCCACCCAATTCGTGTCTCACCAATATTGTACAATATCATCACTAAAAATGACTACGACGAATCCAACTGACGGTCATTATTCACCGTCACGACAATTGCTATAGATTTGGCTAGGAATTGATTCTCGTCAGTTGGATTCGTCGTTGTCCTATAGCAATTGTCATATGATCAATAATTTAGCGCGAAAAATGCCGGTAATTAAATTGATCATTTACCTCGTATTGACGGCACTTCACAGCTTAGGATTGAGGAAGATCTTCATAGCAGGAGTTGGACCACTTGGTTGCATTCCTAATCAAAGAGCTACTGGTTGCATTCCTAATCAAAGATCAACAGTTGAGCAACTTAACAGATATCATCCTGGTGCTATCTTTGCATATGGAAACACCTATGGCGTCTTTGGAGATATTCTCAATAACCATGCAACATATTGTAAGATATTAACTCTTTTGTTATAGCAATTATTAACAACCCAGAGCAATATATATCATAAATCTTTAAATTTTTATCATTGGATTTACCAAGAAGGTACATCACATTCATTTCAACTCCTTTCATCTTTATCATATGACCTTGTCCATGTATATAATCAAAATAAATGATAGAGGATAAAGGAAGTGAAATATAATAATTCAACAATTTTATAGCAATAACAAAGTAATTTCCATAAGACATTATTGTCAGGAATTTGAAATTTAATTTGGTATTTTGCGTTTGGTACAATTACAGTTGGAACTAGAATTCTACTGAGATATCAAATGGCAAGGCAAAGTCCTGTGAAATTACTCACCTACAGTAAAAAATTTAATTCCTTTAAAAGGGGGCATGCAATGCATAAATTGAGAAAATATAAATTTTTTAACTTGTGAATATGATTTCATTAATCTGGTAAAGTTCCAACATGGAGATTCCATGATCTCAACAAAATTTATTTTACCTGAAAAAAGTTGAATCAGCCTCAGTTGCAACTGCCTTGGCTAAATATGATTTACCATTTCCAGGAGGTCCGTACAACAAAAATACTCTCCATGGTCGTCTTTTACCTGAAAGAGACCATAGGAAAAACATATTCAATAATTCTATGCATCTTATGCTGTTAATATATCATTAAAGCTTTCAGCTCCCAATATAAATCTTGTTTTCACCTTATTTCATGTATTCAATGTTGTTTTGTCCAGGAAACACTCATTTCATTTCATACTTTTCAAGTTTTGTAAAGCTTTGTGGAGTTCTCCACAAAAAACAATTGAAAACATGAAACAAAGTGAAGAACAATTGCCATTTTTGCAAATAGTATTGAAACAGAAAATAAAATCAGAAAGTTAAAACAAAAATCAAATAGACCCTGCATTACTACTTAAAATAAACAAAGTCAATAACCAAAGTAACAAACTAGCCAACTTTCAACTGCAAAAATCTCATCTTGCATATCAAAATTGATATGTTGATCATGTTCAATCCTTAGTATCCACAATTCCACATCCTATCATATTCAATCACCTCCCCTAACA